CATTTAAAACCCATTGCACCCCCCACCACAAAACACCTCCGTTTCCTTCCCCCTCAAAGCCCCCCCCCCCCCATATGTTTAAATATAAATATTTTTATTAAAGTTGTTTTATTGGTGTGATATAATCTTTATCTTACAAACATTTTGTTTGGTTTCTATCTGTAAATAATCTGTCGCTCTATAAATGATCCGCTTCGTTTTTAAACCAAATTGATTTAAATCAACTTTTCAATGATTTTTTTAACTTACTGAGACGAAGTCGAGTTGACCTTGCACGCTGACCCCTGACCCCTGCTGTTGACTCTGTGGGTCGGACTAACAGCCTTCCTGTTTCTCCCCCCCATGCGTAGGATCTGTATCAGGTTCGTATGACAGCTTCTGCTTCTCTGCTGCATAAATGAGACGATGTGAATGACAAACGTCCCAAACTGTGAAAAATCCACCATTTAATGAGAAAGCCGCCTGCAGACGCAGAACCGCTTGGCTTCACGACCAGAACCAGAAGTCTGAAATATTCAAACCAATAACCTGAAACGCAGAATCATAATCATTTTATTATTATGTGGCTCTAATAAAACAAGGAGGCGACAAATAAAATAATTAGATGTATAAACACTTGGAGAAAGTGATAAAACTCTGATTATAGATGGTTTATGGATTCACTGAACTTCCTGATAGGTTTTTATTGGCTGAGAGATGAAAGTTACAAATATTAGTAAATGTTTAAATAAATGACGTTTTGGAAAATGGCTCCAGTTTGATGCAGTTTCAGTTCAGATGTGATAACTGAAGGTCTCAGAAACAAGTTTAGCCTAAAGCTAAAGGCTGCCCCCTAGCATCTGAAGGAAGTACTGCGCTGCCGCAGGTTGAACAAACTACTTCCTGTTTGTTTTAAATTCAGAGCCTGAAATCATGGAGTCCATAATCCTCCACATAGCTGCTGATTCCACTGATATTAAATGAATCTGACGTGAAGAGCAGCTGCAGTTACCAGTTTATGTCAACAGGAGGCAGAGTTGTAGCATTTCTGCAGGTATTCCTTCACCTTTCAATAGGAAACAAATCACTGTTATTAAAGATTATCTGATGGACTCTGAAATGTTTTCACTCCTAGACATGAAAAAATGATTTCTGGTTAATTCTGAACCAAAACTGAAATCCTGTTTTGATGATTCTGGGTTTGGTGGATTGTTCCCACAGTTTCATGAGTGTGTTGTGTTTTGTAAATGAGTCTGAACTGTTTCTGTTTCCTCTCCATCCCGTTTGCTCTGGTCTCCATCTTGTTTTGTTTTCTGGCTGAGTGTCCGGTCCGGTCCGGGTGTGTCTGACCTCTCCGTCTCTTTGACCCCCAGTCTGGTGGTGCTGGTGGCTCTCAACATGCTGCTGTTCTACAAGCTGTACGCTCTGGAAAGAGCAGCTCACACACTGGAGAGGTGGCACTCCTACTCTGTGGCCGACAGGTAAACACGCTGCAGGTGTTTCACACAGAACACGAGCCGCTGGGATGGAGGAGGGGTTCTGGTCCCAGCAGGGTTCTGGTCCCAGCAGGGTTCTGGTCCCAGCAGGATTCTGGTCTCCAGACGTTTTCCTCCCACTGAACTGTGTATTATCATTATGTCATAATTTACACTTTAGCTGCTTTTCCAGTCGTTTGCAGTTCATTAGCCAAACACTTTTTGTTGAATATTCTACGATTCATTTAGACTGGAGCCCAGTTTGCCAAATTATTTTCTTTGGGATTTTCATAGATTCTAAAACTGGAACAGAGTAAAACTATTTTAGCTCCAACAGAGACATGTTTACATGCATCTTTCATTTCAAGAGCATGAAAAAAATCAGTTATGTTGTTTTTAATGTGACTAATTTATTTATTTTTTTAATATTAAACAGAACTTATTTAGTAATTAGTTTCATAGCTAATTAGCTTTGATTTAACTAATCTTAGTTTTTCTTTGTTTTTGTTTTTATTAGATTAGTATAGTTTATCTTAACTTTTCTTGTTCTAGCTTGACTTTTAGCTTGGTGTCAGTTAGCTTACTTTAGCTGGATTGATTTGAGCTTATATTATTTTATGGTATCTTACCTAGTTTGGCTGAACATAGGTTAGCTTAGCATGAGTAGCTTAGCTCCACTGGCTTTGATTATGTTAACTTGGGCTATGTTGCATTAAAATAGCTTATTTAGCTTAGTGTCAGTTAGCTTGGCTTAGTTGACCTTAATTACTTTAGCTTAGCTTTGTTGGGTTTTGGTTAGCTTAACTTATTTAGCTTGGTGTGAGTTAGCTTAGCATCATTGGTTTCAATCAGCTAATTTTTTGTTAATTTTGCTTATTTATCTTGGTGTCAGTTGATATGGCTTTGATTATGTTCCATTATTTTAAATGAAGTTAGCTAAGCTTATTTTTTGTTTTTCTGTCTTACCCTAGCATAATCGTCCATAGCTTTAGCTTAGCCTTTTCTAGTTAATTTAGAAGAACTTGGCGAATTGAACATTTTTAGCTTAATTGGTTTCTCCCAGTTTACTCTAATTTATTTAACTTATCCTAGCATAATATAGTTTCTTTATATCTTTAATAGTTTGATTTATACTAGCTTAGTTAGCCGAGCTTAGCTTGCCTTGGCTCCGGCATTAAGAGGTCAGGGACTGTTGTGACCTTGTGGCGGTGAATGTGTGGACTGGATCAGAACCTCTGAACCGTTGTGACTTGTTGCTGCTGTGCCGTCAGTCCTCTGCCCCAGACGGCGGGCGAGTGGGCCCAGGTTCTGCACCTCCAGCGGCAGTTCCACCAGGCGCAGCTCAGTAAGTGGCAGCAGATCCTGCAGTCCTCCGTCTCCCTGCTGGACCAGGTCAGAACCCGCCAGCTCCACACAGAACCAGAACCTCCCGCTTTCAGCCGCCGCAGCTGACCGGTTCTGTTTGCTCCCCAGATGAAGCATTCCCTGGAGAAACTCCACAGGAACATCGTGGTTCCGGACGGGGAGCCGGATCCGTCCGCTGACACAGAGTCCCTGTCTGAGACCTGACCTCCGACCCGACCCGCATCCCCCTGCTCCGGTCTCAGGACTCCGACACTTCCAATCAGAATCCGGTCCTGGGTGGGACAGACGGACGAACTACACTACCCACAACCCCCCTCTCCTGACTGACTTGAAGTCGCATCAGACGCCTTTAGCTTCGACCAATGAGAAGCTTCCAGAACCACAGCAATAAGCCCCTCCCCCCGCTGCCCCATGAACCTGAACAGAACCGGGCCACAGGCGGGCCGCCGGGTTCCAGACTGCTTCCTGACCTGCTGCGTGGCGCCGGGACCGGACCGGTTCCGGCCGGAGACGGACCTCCTCAGTATTTATTATTACCTCCCAAGTCTCGTCCTGCTTGAACAAGTCATGTGATGGCGGTTCTGCACTCTGATTTGCTGATGTTTGGACCAATAGGAGAAGGAGGTTCAGCAATAATGAAAACCTTTTGCTCTTTACGAATGTTTCTCTGAAAACTAGTTTATTATAATAATAGTGATGATGATGATGTGTGTGCGTGAAGAACGAGGAGAGGGTGCGTCGCCATGGTTACGTTATCACATGCTACTTTTTCTCTTCAGTGTTTTTGTTTCTTTTTGCAAATTTTTCTTTGTGTCCAAACCTTCAGCCGAGTTGGAATGAAACGGACCAAGCAGAACTTTTCAGGCCCGGAAGAACAAAAAGGGAAACAGTGTTTTGTTTTTGTTTTTTTGTTTGTTTTTTTGTGAAATTAATCTGAATTTACTCGTCATTATTTTTTACTTTTTCACTTCCTGTTCTAATTCTGACTGAGGATCGGTTTCTCATCTCTGCTTTCTGGGATTTTCTCCCGACTTCAGCGGCTGCAGAAGCTTGTCGGCCCTGCTGTGCACGGTCGTCATGGAAACGAGAGGCTGGTGTATTTATTGTGGAAGGATGAGGAGAGAATGTACTGTAAAATTGTGATTGTACAAAACAAGATGGAGAGAAATGAAAATCCTAAAACATGCAACAACTCGCTCCTGCCTGAGTCTGAGGTTTTTCTTCACAATTTCTTGAAAAATATCAATTAAATGGTTAGAAATTATAAATAAAAAATTTTAATTAATAAATGTTAATGTTTTTATTTTACTGTGGAATACTACAAAAGCAAATATAAATTTCCAGCGAGATTTTAAGATTTTCATTCATGTATATGAAGCTGAGAAAATTAATCCCTTAATACATTTATATCCTTAAAAACTATTTAAGAATGTTTGTCTATTAAATCCTAAAATTTCACAAACACATTAAAAACGAAATTAATTAATTTCTTAATGGCTTATTTTTTCCTGAATTTGCTAAAATAATGTAATGTTTAAATAGTAAAAATAAAAAAATAGTAAACATATTTGAATTTGTCATTTATAAAAAAAAATTTTATTTTGTGTCCTAAAAATAACCAAATGTACAAATTTTTCATAAAATATAACTAAAATGTTTCTGTGGAGCCTCTGCATTGAAAACTAAAAATCTCCAAAGTAAAAATGTCTTTTTCCTGATCAGCTCCAGGTGGAAATATTTTAGATTTTCTGTCAGTTAATATTCAGAAGATCCATAAATATTCAGTTTCTGCTCCGTGTCGTTTTTTCTTCCGGTTCATTCCAGTCAACTCCTCGGAATGTTCTGTTGGTTCTGTTCGGTTCTCCTTTACAAACACATTCAGACCCAAAGAACGACTCAGAACCCGACCGAGAAACTTTTATGTTTTTATTATTAGGACTGACGTTTCCATGGCGACGCATGCAGCCAGCCTGCGGTTTTGTTGTTTCCATGCAGCGGAACCGGAAGCGGAGCAGCTTAGCCTGGTTCTGTCCAGCTTGGTGTTCCGTTACCGGGACCCAGAGCGGAGCAGCGCTCTGCTGCCCCCTAGTGTTCACTGGAGGCAGGAAGAAAAGCTGCTGGAGCTAGCAGAGCCGGCCCAAGGCATCAGCTGGCCACACATCACAAAACTCTACATTTATGTTTATTAAAAATAAAACTGTTTCAGCGCGAGTACATGAAGAGATTTTATTTTCAATTTCAGATTTGAAATTGGTAAGTTTTACTTTGTAAAAATGCAAATAATCTGGATTATTCGATTGCAGTGTAACCATAGTAACAGTCTCATGCACAACAATACATTATCACTGATTACTTCTAAAATCACCCAATTAAACTCCACCACCTTTTCCAGATTTCACCTAATCTGGATTAAAACGCTGCTGGTGGAGAAAGTTTTAACAGGAAGACCAAGTCAATTTCTACGGAAGTCTTTAAGTGCCAGAACTTTACCCAACCTGAAAACAAGGCTTCACCTCTGACCTTTTCTGAAGGTTGGTGTCGTGGAGCATTTGCTGCACAGCAGTGAGATTGCAGGTTCTGCTGCGATGATCCGGTGAAACGCAGGAAGTCTCACTTTGAGCTGCAGCTTCCTTCTCGGCTCAGCGCCAAAACTTCCTGTTTTCTGCGTTTCTGGGTCTGATTGTCGCTCAGTGAGCTCCCAGAAAGAACGTTTGGTTCTGAGCTCTGACTCCTGACCACTTCTGGTCTCATGGGAATCCGTCTACAGAACCAGCAGATTTCCAGTTCGATTCGGTCAAATTTAAATATGAGGGAAAAAACATCAGAGGAGGAAAACTGATGATCAGACGTGTTTAAAAAAAGTGAAATTTGAGATTCAAATGTGAAAAAAATTCAGATTTTCTTTTTTCAGACAGATTTGGTTTGATTTGCTTCAGTTAAAAACAGATCAACAATAAATAAAATGTAACCAATGTGAGTTTTTCCATCGTTAAGCAGGAATTTTCTTTATGCTGAAACATTTGGACTGAATGTAATGTTCTGTAGGGTTCTAGTTCTGATTCTGCTCAGAAAGATGCTGGACATTCGGACACTTTTACAGGAAACTTCATTAATATATTAGAAATATAAACGTGAGCTGCAGCAGCGTGAAGCTTCAGCTGGAGCTTTGAATTATTTTATGTTTACAGCAGATTATAATCAGTGGAAGGCAGAAATCGGCTTTAAGTTAAAGCACTTCTGGAGAGTCATGCAATCGAAAAAGGACTAAAAACTGTCCAAATATGCCGACTGGAAGGTATATTTTAATATTTGCCGACTTTTTACTGGGCAAAGCACCTTTTAAGACATCATTTTAAGCCTGATTTGGTCCAGAGTTGCATGGAGGAGGACCCGGGGCTGCTGGATGTTAAACTCTTCCTGGGTTCATCTCCTCGGTGCCGGAGCAGCAGATCCCACATCGGCCCGTTTCCTCCTGGTCCAGGTTAGTAAACATGCACAATTAAAATGTTTCAGCTGTAATAACGCAGGTATCTGACAGAATGTCCACAGTTTGATACTCTGCAGAATATTCAGCTGTGATACGTGTAGACTGAGGCCTGGAGTTTAATTTATTGATTTATTTGATAAATAAACCCCCTGAACGCCGCGGAGCATCGAGGTGAAACGCGTCGTTTCTCTTTTGGTCCACTGGGTGGCACTGCTGCAGCACTGTTAAGTCTGATTAGACAACATGCAGAGGCGTGAAACATGAGCCAGTTTGGTTTTGATGCATAATAACTGATGAATAATGTTTGTTTTTCTCTTTTTCTGCAGGTTTTAGAAGAGAAAGTCCAAACAGGAAAAACTTCAGCTGCGTTAACAGTTGGCAGTGAGCAGCTGAAGGTTCTTAAAGGATTTTTTAAAAACTCATTTGTTGCTGTTTTCCTTTTTAAAATGTCATCCTTAAAAGCAAACAGTGAGTTAAACCTGAGGAGGAAGGAAGGACTGGCTGCTGGTCAGCATGCAGAGGGAGGCGGACTGGAGTGGAAGCATATTTACAGCGGCTCTCTTCCTGTGGATCCTGCTGCTCTGCTCTCTTCTTCTCTCACTCCTGCCTGCGCTCAGGGCTTCCAGGATTTCCATCACGAGGAGAGACGAGAGGGAGGTGGAGTTCCTCAGGGCCGTCGCCTTGGACTCTCCATCAACCTGGAGGTTAAAGCCAACAGAAGAAAAGTTGCAGCTCCGACGTTTCACTGCATTTTGTTTTGGCTGCAGAAAAGTTAAAGGAACACAAATAAAATCAGAAACCAGTGGAGGTTCCTGATTGGGCTGGTATGGAACTACATTGGTGCAAAAACTTGGAAGAAAAGCGAAACATGAAGCCTGTTAGACGTACCGGGTCATTCTGCCTCCTGGACGGCGCCGCAGTTCTCTTTACTCTCTGAAGCAACGGCTAAATACTCGGCCCTGCAGGGACAAAGAGACGGACTGAAACGGATCTGGTTCTGGATCTGGATCTGGACCAGGATCTGGGTCACTCACTCGGTCTCCCTCAGCGCCTCCTCTCCGGCCGCTGAGATCTTCCTGTAGCAGTAGATCATCTCCACCACCAGCCAGAACTGAAGCCCGATGATGGAGACGTACATCATGACCTCGGACAGGATGGACGCCATGCCTCTGGTTACTACGGCGACACACAGGGAACACGTGGATAACAGCTAGTGGTTGCTATGGTGACCCAGTGACCTCCAGCTGTTTGCGCAGTGAGAACAGCTGCAGACCAGCAGGAGGCCGTGTTCTCCGCTCTTTCCCATTTTGAGGAGAACCTGAGAGGAACTCGCTTCTCTGGTTTCCGACTGAAATTCAAAATAAATTTGACTAAAGGCTTCTTTTCATGAACGGCTGCAGCTTCATGTCGTATGAATGGATGTTTTTAGACCCATTTCTAACACAAATATTTAATAAAAGTAGAAATGCGTCATAAACGTGATGAAAGCAAACAGGAACACTGCAGACGTTTCTTCCTTTGTGATGAGTTTGTTTGAAAAGCAAACAAACCGACTGCTGCAGTTTGCTGAGCTGCAGCTCCATGTTTGACTAACAAACGAAGCACTCTCTCACACACACACACACACACACCCCCACACACACACACACACACACACACACACACACACACACACACA